CAGAGCTCTTTAGCTTTGATACATCATAGACCCCCCCAAAGCAGGAGGAAGTAGTTTTTCTTCTGTTATTAGCTGCTCTGCCTGGGTTTGTTCTTGGAGCCATTACTCGATCTGGTCTAATAGAGATCTTATAGTTCTCTTATAGCTGCAAACTGGATGAGCTTTTCTAGATGCACTTGGAAATCAGCATTGGGTGACAGGCATATAACAAAATATATTCTGACTTTTGAACAACCAATTTACAGGTAAATGTTTGAAGGGCTGCCCGTGTGTCCTTTGAGGATTATCCAAGTGAATATGTCCCAATGAAAGCCAGCATTCGACCCCCCTGGGAATCACCCTCCATGGTATGTGCCATCCAGAGCCCTCTCCTTTCCACTTGTCTCTTAACCGTTTCATTTCTCAGTGGATGCCTACAAAAAAGCTAAGCGATGAAGGAAGAGGACACATTTAAACCGGCTTTGCTATCTGGAAATTCTGATTCTTTTTCCGTTTCCCTCAAACCAAGTTCAGAAGAGCCCTTCAGGTACCTGTGGAGAAGAGTCTATGGGACTGCTGTGGAGCAAAGGTCCGGGTGAATGGCACTGACTCTCCCTTCTCCTGGCTCATTTTTAAAGGTTTTTGAGCTTTCTCTGGGGGCTTCAAGAATGCTGCATGTTTAATGAGGGTAGCACATGACAATAAGGTCTAATAAAAGCAATGCTGGGGAGTTAGCTCAGTGGTTCCACTGCCTGTCTTGAAAGCACAAGGTCCTGAGTTTGATCCCAGGTACAAAAAAAAAAAGCAATGCATGTGCTTATTCTGTTTTCCAGACATGCACTGTCTTTGCAGCCTGATGATAGTACCTTCTGCTTGGATGCCAACCCTAGGCCAACTGCACCCTTTCAGACCTTTCTGGGAATTTTCTGTGATTAAGTCATGATAATAAAATGGTCTGTCCCAATTTTCACTGCTCATTGGAATCATCTGGGATGCTTTTAAAAATACTGTGTATGTAAAAATGTCTGTCATTGGATGTTGTGGCAGATGGCTGTAATCCCAGTACTTAGGAAGCTGAGGCAGAAGGATCACCTCAATTTTGAGGCCAGCTGGGACTACATAGTGAGTCCAAGGCTGGCCTGGACTACATAGCAAGACTCTGTCTCAAAAAACTAAAACAACAACAACAAAAACCAAAAACAAACACAAACACAAACACAAACAAAAAAAAAGGCTAAGGAAGTCGTACAGTGCAAGGGCCACAGGTTCAATTACTGATACCTCCCCCAAATCCTGTTTCATAACTTCAGTACTAATTTACTTAACTGATCTGGAGAGTGGCCTAGGTGCTAAGATTTTTAAAAAGCCCCTTTCCTCGAGGCTCTAATGAGCAGCCCAGACCAAGAATCATTGACAGACCTAATTTACTCCATATAGAAACATGCCAATTTATATACAATTTGAAATCCAATTAGGTCAATAAATACTTATTGAGTATTTACTCAGTACAAGCCTCAAAGGCAAACTTCTGACACAGTCCATGCCACCAAAGAGCTAAAACCTAGTGCAAGCAGGAGTCCGTCTGTGCAAGAGGTGGTGCGGGCAGGTGTACAGAGGCCCTGCTCTCTATAAAACACTGTACAGGGCTGGGGATTTAGCTCAGTGGTGCCGCCTCCTGCTTCGCAAGCACAAAATCTGGAGTTCAATCCCTGGTACTAAAAACAAAACAAACAAACAAAAAACACTGTATGAAGGGACCTTCTTTTCCTCTAGACCCAAGACACTTGCTACATGGTTTCAGAGAACACATTCTATTCGGTTGGGAGCTGGTGAGTCAGAAAATATGTCCTAGAGGCAGTGACATCTGAGATGGACTGTAGGGAACAGGCAAGGTTTCTGTAGGTGGAGGTTGGAGAAAGATCCTCCCAGTAGGGGTCCGAGAGAAGTAGCGCCCTGTGTGAGGCTGCTGCGAAGCCATAGATGAAAAGCTTTGGAATCGTACTGGGGTGAGCTTGAATATTCCAAGGACAGAACAGCTGGTTCACTTGAGTTGGCTCCAGGCAGCCATTAGGGATTTGAAAATTAGGGAATAATATCAGTAGAGTACTTTGAGGAGAATGATCCGGGGTTGCAATCTGCCCTGGGTATCTGTGGTAGGTCTAGAGGCAGTAAGACCAGTGAGAAGTCTGTGATGGTGAAGTCTGAAGTGGGAGATAGAAAAGTCTGAAGGAGAGCGGAAAGGGAGGTCTGGATAGAGGAGGAACAATAACGTTAGAACGAACAGGGCTGTGGGATTCACTGAACGGAAGAAGCAAAAAAGTGACTTGGAGCGTTCTGATCTGGGTTCTGAGGAATATGCCGGCGCATTACTAGAACTCATTCAGCTAGTTTGAGGAATAGTTTGTGAAAGGGAAGTCTATGAACCTAACTTTGTATAAGCCGAAAGCAGAGACGATGGAGCTGAACTCTCTTACTCAAATATTCCTCATTGAATTCTATTAAATTCTTAAAGCAGAGTGCTGATTGTTTAATTTAGCAGTTTTCAGCAAAAGGATATTCTGTCTCCCAGGGAACATACGGCGATGTCTGGAGACATTCGGTGGGGAGAGGCTGCTGCAGGCATCCAGTGGGTAGAGACCAGGGAGGCTGCGAAATACCGACAGTGCTTGGGATCAGCCCCTTTCCCCAACAAGGACTCACGCAGCCCAGGAGTCTATAGTGCTGAGGCTGAGAAGCCCTGCTTTAACACAACCCACTAGCTCAAATTTCAGGAATTTTTAGGCTCATTATATTTTGAGTGAGACAGCGCCATCTAGTGTTCAAATATGACATGTTCGCTCTGTGTTAAAAAAAACCATAAAAATATTCAGAAAACTAAGACATATAGAGACGAGGCATATCCCTTCAGGAGAGAACGGCCGAGTATTTTCAGAAGTATATGAGAAAGAGAGTTCAGGTATCCAATCTGGAGCTGATCTCAGGAAGTGCATCCTGGACAGAAGAGATTTCACAATACAGTAGATACATTTTACAGGACTTCTTCTGTGTGGGATGCACACTATTCCATTAAAGTTGCCTATATTTTACCACTGTTACTGCATATATGGGAGAGGAAACAAGGTCTAATAACTCTGCTGAATAATGACTGAAATTTTATGGATGCAACCTGTGGCATTTTGTTATATTAAGCAAGACTAAAAACGAGTTTTAGAGTTGTTGTTTTTTTTTGTTTGTTTTTTTGGTACTGGGGATTGTATAGTTTTGAAATAGCAGGATGAAGAGCACTAGAAACTTTGGTCTCTTAAGAAGAGAAACAGCATTCTACATGTCTTAGCTGTTACCTCTTCGGTCAGGGTGTAAGCTCCACGAGGGCAGGGAGGGACTGTGTCTTAGTCACAACCTGTATTTCCCACAGGCTCTGGCATCTGGCATTGCATCGTCTCCCCCGCCCCAGCCCATACTGGGGATCGAACTCAGGACCTTGTGCTTGCCAGGCTGGTGCAGCACTACTGAGTTATAGCCCCGGCCGTGGCATAGCATCTTTTTACAGAGTAGACACACATAATTTTTTGAATGAATGAATTTATTTTTATATTGGAAACCCTCGCCTTTGAAATGAAGAAATTATCTTCAAGCCTTTCCAAGCATTACTATCTCTATCTAAATCATTTGCTCACATAAGATGCCAGCGGAGGGGTTTTGGCACACAGAATACCAGGGATCCGAGCAGAGGGCATCGGCAATAGGACCTTCAGTTTATTTCCCTGGTGAGCCTGAAGCAAACCATGCTGTGTCAACCATCGCAGTGTTTGGACTGATGTGGGGCTTGAAGTTTTTTTTTTTTTTGTCTAAGATTCACTTACCCAGAAAACTTCTCCTGAATGGCTGTTTTGTGCTAGGTACTTTTCTAGGCACTAGGGATACTGCTGTGAACGGAAGTTTAAAATTCTTTGAGAGGCGAGTTTGAATAGGTGGGTTAGACTAGAGAGGCTTGTTCTCCTTTCCCTCTTTCCCAGCTAGTGTATTATTCTCTACATAGAAAATGCAATTTAATCAGTGCTCTCAAAGCAGTTCATAGCTACTAAGGCCTCCTCTTTCCACAACCTTTACTCTGCTATGGGAAGTGAAAACAAACTTGTCTGCATCTCTTCCTTCCTGACTTCTACACTTCCAGACCTTTGGGGAGGGGCAGGGGCACGTTGAGGCCGTATTCTACCGTCAGATGATGACTCTCACACAGTTTAAGGTGGCAATCGAAGCCGGTAATTTTAGAAGTGACCCCGAAGAAGATTTTTTTTTTTTCTGATTGGTTTATTAACAAGTCTTTAGTTCTAGAGTCCAGGGCTATGAAAAATCAGAAAGAAGAAAAACCAGTCACCACGCAAAGGAAAATAACACAGACAGCCGAGGCTGGTGGGGCCCTGTTTGACCAGAATAAGTACATTGTGCAACACTGGTGTTTCAGTGAATTTTTTTGTATCTCCAGTGCATTTTGGCACCTTATGATGTGGCTCTGTACACACAGGATATGCAAATCAAAAGTGTTCCGCCACATGCATGAGTGGCATGGCATGATCTCCTGATGCTAAATGGAAGCTGATTTAATGAAGTCACCATGACTACTGCTATCGATGTAATCAATGAAAGGTGATAGTGACCTCCCCACTTTTTTCCTTTGCATTGTTAGGTGAATTAGTTATATCTTTTATTTTATTTCCCTCCCCTTGAGAGGGTCTCACTATGCACTCAGCCTGGCCTGGAACTCAAAGTAATCCGCCTGCCTCAGCCTCCCAAGTGCTGGCAGAATTAGTTATATTTTAAGGTCACTACTGTCTGTCACTGCTTAGACACATGGCCCCTAATTGCTCCTAGTAGAGCCTAGGCATTCTTTTTTTTTTTTTGGTACCAGGGATCAAACTCGGGTCCTTGCGCTTGCGAGGCAGGCCACTGAACTGCTGAACTAAATCCCCGGCCCGAGCCTAGGCATTCTTTTTTTTTTTTTGGTACCAGGGATCAAACTCGGGTCCTTGCGCTTGCGAGGCAGGCCACTGAACTGCTGAACTAAATCCCCGGCCCGAGCCTAGGCATTCTTAACATAACTAGGCCAGGGATACGTTCTTGCTTTTCCCCACAGCAGTGGATGGTTGCAGTAGGACATCTTCTGTTGTCTGTATCACCGGCTCACATTTTTGTTGAACTTTCTTTTAAGAGGCAAAGCCCTACAGCAGCCCTTCAACAGAGTGCAGGAGACCCTGGCCTCCTTATTCAAAGCACTTCCCACCGCAGCTCGGCAGTGTGGGAACCCATCACGTCCGACTGCATCAGCTCCTCCTCTTTCCCCCTCCACAGTCCGCCTCTTACACAGCAGGCCCCCAGACAGTCTCAAAGTTCGTCGCTCTCCACTACGCTAGAAGAGCATGAATACACCATTGTGCTTTCCACGGAGGAAAAGGCAGAAAAAATGTCAAGTCCTTTACTGGTGAGAGATCCATAGCGACTGCCGCTGGGCCGGATGGACATGGGTGGTGGGATCTGCTGGTGCCACTGAGCTGAAAAATGGAGCAGATGATGTGTTATGGTCAGAGGGCTATATGTGGCGCATGTGCTGTATGTAGGAGGGCATTTGTCCTCAGGCCCTCACTCAGCAATAAGTAGAGAACCTTCCCTGCCAAGCACAGGGAAACTGGGCTAGTGATCTCTTGAACCATTAAGCCCTGTACTTGTGATTTTTTTTTTCAACTCAGTAAGAGGCTAAAATTCTTACAACAAAGAAGGGTGGGTGAGTAGGGTGATTTCTCCAAATCATTTCCCCTCAGTGGCATGGCTTAGGATCTGCTGTAGTCTCTCTGCCGAGGGCACCTCAGGTAGAGGCAACTGTCGAAGCTAAACATGGATTCAAACTGAGCATGGTGGTGCACACCTATAGTCCCAGCACTTGGGAGGCTGAGGGAGGAGGATTGGTATGAATTTGAGGCCAATCTGGACTCCGTAGTGAGTTCAAGGCCAGCCTGAATTGCATAGTGAGACTGTCTCAAATAACTGAAAGACAAAAATGAAGAAGATGGACTCGGCCATGACAGAACTGCCTATTCCACACTCTAGCCACATGATACAGCCAAGATCTACTTGCCTACCCCCATCAATCACATTCCAATGAGCTACTGTAAGAAGACTAAAAAGTAACATATGCAACCAACTGTGGTTCTGAGATAGAGAGAATTTATTAGTTTCCATATTCACCAGATGCTTTGTCAGGAAGACACAATTCTTAGGCTTGTGTGTGGCCTGGATGAAATAACTCTGTTAAGTAGTGCAGTCCTTGCTATTGTTTCTGATTCAAAAAATTACCAAACCTTACCAGGATCAGGTTTCTGGGACCTTGATGTGAAGAAGGGGGTGCAGGAAGTGGGGAACGGTAGGGTACTGGGTCCTAGAAAGCTGTCCTCCTATTTAGCATTTTGATGTATAAATTGGTCCTTTGTTGACTTCACTATTTTGAATCAGTTTCTTGGAGTCTAAGTTCTACTGAGTGAACTGAGAAAGTCGAGTTTGGAAAGCTACCACACTGAGGACAAAACCTACAGCGATTCCACTTAAAGCACTCTCTTAGCCTTTTCCTGCTCTCTCTGACATCTTACCTGGATGGTCACTTCTAGCATTGGAAGCCCTTCCTTTTTGATGTGTGTGTTGGGGATTGAACCCAAGGCCTCATGCATGGTATAGAGTGTCTACCCACCGAGCCACACCCTGGCCAGATGCCCTTCTTCCAGCAAATGGAGCCTGCTGCCCTGTGGTGATGGTGGTGGAGGAGAAGAGGGGTAGGAAATTCATTCTAGTCTAAATCCTCCTCCCTCACCCCAGGCTCCAAGAGAGGCCTGAGTGTTGTGGGATCAGGACCTGTGGCATATTGGTTGGGAGCTCAGCCCCTGGAGGTCATCAGCTGCGGGGCTCGTCCCAGCCTGTGAGCTTTTCAGCTGGAGATACGCTGCCCTCAGAGCTGATGAAGGCTGGGGAGCAATAGGGACTCAGCCTAGATTAAAAATCTTCACTGGCTTCTTTCTGGATTTTTTTCCCCAGCTTCTCTCACAGTTGAATTTTTCAAGTCCAAAACTAAGGAAAACTAACTAGAAATCTATACGTTTCTTACAAAAATTAAACCTCAGGAAAATGGTCAGTTAAGCCCTGTCCTGTGTGGTCCTAGATGAAGGGGATGGGTGGTGCTCACCTATAAATATCAGGGTCCTCAGATTCTTGACAGTTACTCTTATTTGTTATTCTGATTAAATCTGTTAATTCAGTTATAAATACAAAATTTATTTATCTAACCAAAAATTTTTTAAAAGAAAAAGAAATCCCTCTTTTGGATTAAGGAACATGTATAACTAAGAACAGTTAAAAAGTATAAGGTGATAGATTTCCCTCGCCTTAAAATGGCTACTACAGAAAATAGCAGCCTCGTCCTTCCCGTAATTCTCTGCATCTTCAAGTGGCTGCTGTATGGAATAGCAGCCTCCATGTTCCCAACATGCCTCTCTTCCCGCCAAGAAAGGTAACCTGATACTTGCTACCTCCTAGCAACTACTGATGTCACAAGCCCCTCCTAGTGATGTCACAGGCTCCTCCAATTCCTTATTACTACCTCACTCAGCTCCACCCCAGCTCAGGCTAACCCCACCCTGCTCCTACAATAGAAGCTCCCTGTTTGGCCATGTTGCTTTTTCTCCTCTGTTCAGAGATACTCGGGCAGATCCTCCCCATAATAAAGGCTTGTTATGGTTCTGGTCTGGTCCAGGTTTTCGGCTCTTTTTATCTAACATAAGGGAGGGAAACGAGTACACAAACAAATTAATAAAGAATAATTATTTAGCTTCTTTTTAAAATTAGGAACAAGGCTCAAAGGAATGATCTGGAATTGAATTTGATTCCTATCTATTGTCTTTTTTTTTTAAGATAAGGTCTCACTATGTAGTTCAGACTGGCCTTGAATGCACTGTGTGGCCCAGGCTGGCCTCAAACTTGTGCTGATTCTCCTGCCTCAGCCTCCTGAGTGCTAGGACCACAGTCATGTGCCACTATGCCTGGGCTTTCTCAGCATTTAAGTGAAGGTAACAATTACATTAATCTTAGGGGTTGGGGGATTCAAGGGTCTCCTGTTGTTACTTATGGCACTACTCAAATATTGCCTGATGTTACTGGCAGCACAGCTCTCTATTAATAGAGACGTCCGGTTGGGGGATTGGAGCACTATGCAACAATGAGTGGGATCTGGAAAATTCTGCTGAGAGGTCACAGCAGTGGGGAGTTCCAGTGACCCCAGCAGCAATGAGACAGTGTGAAGGTACAGGATGGTCGGGGGTGCAAGCCTGTATGAGCTGTGGGCTTGCTGGTGACTTCCGAGCACTCCGAGCTCTCTGTTGGAAGAAGGTTAAGCTCACAGCAAAACATAAAAATGTACAAAAGCCCTGAGGTAACTGGGATGAGATGATTTTGAAAATCTCTGAAGCACTAAAATATAATACATTCAATTCATTTATGGAAACTTGCTATTTATTTTGGTTTTTTGAGACAGGGTCTCACTATGTAGTTGAGGCTGACCTGGAACTCACTGTGTAGCCCAGGCTGGTCTCAAACTCACAGCGATCCTCCTGCCTCAGCCTCCCAAGTGCTGGGATTACAGGCATGTGCCATTTATTTATTTCTGAGACAGGGTCTCATATGTACGCCAGGCTGGCCTGGAAATGGCAGTGATCCTCCTACCTCAGCCTCCTGAGTGCTGGGATTACAGGCATGCACCATCACACCCACTTTTAAAATTATTTTAAACTTGCCCATCACATAGATGTGCAATGTTATACTTACCATATATATCCAGCCTAGCGGTGCATGACACGATGCCAGCCTCATTCTTGGCTGACAATGTATACCATCCGGCATCTGATTTCTTGGCTGGCTGAATGAGGAGACAGACATAGCCTGTTGTGTCCTGGTGCATACTGGAGAAAAGAAAGAATATATTCATATTTTATACGGAAGCAGAAATATTTCTGTCAAGCTCAGGGTTTAAGGAAACTCTTAGAGGTCTTCCTCCTAAAAGGCAAGAAGTGGGAACTCAGCTAAAGGCAAATTCAAAAGTAGAAAGAAGGCACAAGCCAGGCCTGGTGACACAGGCCTGCAATCCCAGCACTCTGAGAGGCTGAGGCAGGAGGATCATAAGTTTGAGCCTAGCCTGGGCAACTTAGCCACTTGGTGGAACCTGGTCTCAAAAAGGGTTGGGGATGTAGCTCAGAGAGAAGGCTCTGGATTCAATCCCCAGTACTCCCCAAAACAAAGCCATGGAAGAGCAGTGATGAACCCTAAGAGGGAGCCCAACAGCTGTGACAGATCTATCTGTTCAGGCTCTCCACTGACCTCTCCAAGGCCCCAGCACTGCTGAAGTTCGCTCCCCACCAGAGAGACCCCTGTTTTTCCACAACTACAGTCCAGGAAATGCCTTTTTCCAAACATGATTGAGAGTTTCAACCAAAACGGCATCAGAAAACAATGGAAAAGCAGACCAAAAGGAAAACCCGGGGGTACATGCACCAGTAGCGTGGAGCCAGTTTCCTAGCCACCCACTGTCCAGCACAGCATTTAGCTTAGTGCCTTAGGGAGGAAATGGGCTAGGGATTTTCTTCTGCTCCTCTGCTCAGTCCTCAGTCTCATGGGGCTCACTGCAGCCCCAGGCCACACTCCAGGCAATGACATCAGAATGGCAGACTGGGACAAGAGGAAAATGATTTTTAACAATTCCCTAGGTGATTCTTATGCAGCCAAGGACCAAGGACTATGTAAAAAATCTGGACAAAATCAGTTTATTGAGAAAAAATTTTCAGTAGTAAGTTTGGATGCAGCTACCTTCACTTGCTCTCCCTCTGGTGGTGTAAAGCTAAAACTGCAAAGAAACGAGGTTGATGGGGAGAATCAAGCCAACCACTTTCAGAAGCTAGATCCTTAAGCTTACTTTAAAAGCAACAGGGCAGGTGTGGTGGTGTGCACCTGAAATTCCAGCACTCAGGAGGATGAGGCAGGAGGAGCGCCATGAGTTTGAGGCCAGCCTAAGCTATCCAGTAAGTTCAATGCCAGTCTGAACTATGTAGTGAGACTCCTCCTCCTCAAAACAACAACAAACAAGCAAAAACAAACAAAACAACCAACTTGAGACCATGATGGTAGGTAAAGTAAATCAAACGCCCAAGCTTAAGTATCTCATGGTTTCTCTTATATGAGAAACTCAAAGTATCAATAAATTAAAGAGCAAAATAAAAGATGGTAGGAAACAGGGAGATGGATTTTTTTTTGCAAATGGGAAGAGGACGAAGAGATGGAGGTAGAGGTGGGAGAAAGGAAAGGGGATGAAAAAAGAATGAGATGTGTTATGTACATGAACCAACTCCCCACAAGGACTGTGATCATTATGTACTGCAAACATGCACTGACAAAAACCAAACCAAACCACCACTTAGTGACAGAGGGGAAAGCAGTTTAGCTGCCTTCATGTTGGAATGGACTTTAGCGTTGTAGTTTGGACCTTAAGTGTTTGCCAAAGCTCCATGTGCTGAAGACTTGCCTCTCGGGGTGGTGCTACTGGGATCTGGTAGAATCTTTAAGAAGTGCAGATGAGCCAAGCGTGGTGGCACACACCTGTAATCCCAGGATTCAGGAGACTGAGGCAGGAGGACCACTGTGAGTTCAAGGCCTAAGCTACATGTCTCAAAAAAAAAGAAAGAAAGAAACACGAAAAGAGGGGTGCTTCACGGGAGGTCTTCAGGTCAATGGGGGCTGTGACCTCCAAAGGGATAAGAGCCTGAGTGCCTTCCTCTTCCTCCTTTGCTTCCTGGGGATGAGGTGAGCAGTTCCGTCTGCCATAAATTCTGCCATCCAGCACCTCCATCAGAGACCTAAGAGCAATGGGTCCCCTGAGTGTGGACCAGAACCACTGAGACCATGGCCCCAAATAAACCTTTTCTCTTTCTAAGCTGATCACCACAGGTATTTGGTATAGCGAGGGAAAGCTAACACAGTTTTGTTTTATTTTGTTTTCTTCAAAGAAGTTTTCTGAGTACTAATATGACTGAAGACACATGATAAAAATATGCAAGTTCTTCATAAATTCCTTACATATTTTTAAATTTAAAAATTAAAACATTTTTAGCTAGGGCCGGGGATTTAGCTCAGTGGTTCTGCCACCTGCCTTGCAAGCACTACTCAGTGTGTTCAAGACCAGCCTAAACTATACATAGTGTGACCTTGTCTCAAAATAACAACAACAAAATTGCAAGTTTTCAAATTCTGAGACAGCCATACGATGGATTCTCACCCAAGAACAAATGGGAATAAATTCCTGATTTGCTCAGTAACACAGACGAAACTTAAGAATGCTCAGTGAGAGACCGCAGGCCGCAGTTCTCTGGGCAGCAGGCCCGGAGTCCACATGGAGGTGGAGGCTGCCTTACCTGACCCTCTCTCTGGTGAAGGGAATGGTCTCGTTGTCCTTCTTCCAGTAGAACACGGGCGGGGGCATGCCAATTACGCGGCACTCCAGCCTCACCGGGTGGCCCTCAGGAACGCCACTGTTCTGCAGTTTCTCCAGGATCACGGGGGCTTTCTTCACCTCTTTGGCTGAACAAGAGAAGGACCTTGTTTGAATAGGAAGCGCCTCAAGGTTCATGTCTCGCATTCACTACGTCGTGGGATTTAGCAGAGTGGGCACACACCTGCCTCACCTCTTAGTGAGGCACAGCCTCCAGAAAGCTCCGTAAATGATTAAAAAGCAAGGGATCACCACCCATCTCTGCAGCTCCCGAGCGAAATGACCCTCGGGTCACACACACTAGGATAAAGATGCTAGGAATAGTGGGATTAAAGGAGTTTCTTTTATTGCTCAGCAGTAACTCTGGAGAATCAATTTACTCCATGTACATTTTTTTTTTTTTTAAACAGGGTCTCACTTTGTACCTCAAATTGGCCTTGAACTCACAAGGGTCCCAGGCTGGCCTTGAATTTGAGAACATCCTCCTGCCTCAGCCTCCTGAGTACAGGGAATATAGGCATGCATCTATACTCCATGTACGTAAATTGATCCTTTTGTCTTTGCTTGAGGTGTTTATTCTATGGGATTTATATTAATTTCCCCCGAGCTTTTCATTTTGAAAAAAGGCTCAAACCTACAGAATTGTATTATTATTATTATTTTATTGTTTTTTATTTTTTGGTAGTGGGGATAGAACTCAGGACCTTGTGCTTGCAAGGCAGGTGGTGGAACCACTGAGCTAAATCCATGGCCCTTGTATTATTATTTTTAAAAACAAGCAATTATGCTTCCCAATGAAGTTTTTCCTTTGGCCATAACCTCATAGATCAGGGTTCAAAAGTCAATCTATATCTATATCCATATCTGTATCTATATCTATATCTGTCTATCTTGTTTGGTACTGGGGATTAAATTCTGGTCCTTGTGCTTGCAAGGCAGGTGGCACCACTGAGCTAAATCCCCAGCCCCTCAAAAGTCAATATTTTAGCAAAATAGTGGAGAAAATGCAAAAGCCTCGAATCAGTGTATCTTTGCAAAATAAATTTTTTTCTCATCTGTTGGCTAGAAAAAAATTAAGAGTGAGAAAAGGAAAAAAACATACACAGGGGAAATAGCCACTCAGGCTGGCACAGAGCAGCCACCCTGGCTCCCTTTAGGGGCCACACAGACAGCAGGAGAAGGCCCAGCTCCAAAATCCCTACACTGAGGACTTAATTCAGGCTGGATTCCTGCCTCACAGCGGGGCGCCTCACAGCGGGGCGCCTCACAGGGGCTGAGGCTCCCTGTCCTTTCCTGTAGGCATGACAGTGTTTTCCTTTCCAGCACCTCATAAGACACGGCCCATGCGTTTAGTTATTGATACAACATTTGCTGAGCACCTTTCATTCCAGGCCCCGAGGCAGGCACTGGAGGGACGCACAACAGGCCCGTCTCTGACTGACCTCAGAACTCAAGAGTCTCCAGCCTCGTCTTTTCTAAGTACTGTGGAGACACAGGGAGGACGGCGGGGAGCAGCTGTGCTTGGCGCACCTGTGTCTGGGTGGTGAGATTTGGTTAGCCTTTCAGAGAACAGCTAGGAGGATGCTGGGGAGAGGGGACGTTGATGAGACTTAGGGGGATCAAAGAGCCAGGATGTCCCAGGAATGATGGAAGGTAGGCAATCGGGTGGAATTTAGTGAGAGTCAAGGAACTGATTAAGTGACTGGTAATGAATGATTACCACAGCCCACTTTATTGCATGTGTTAAATATGCACGGTCCCACGCCATACTCGTGTCTTTGAAAGCAAGGTAGGACATGCGGTACTTATTACAATGAAAAGAAAACTGAGATTTGTGGGGCAAAGGACTAAGGCATTGGTGCAATAACTTTGACGGGAGTAGCACCTAGGGGTCCCAGCAGCAAGCCTTACCGACCACAGTGAGCTCCAGACTAAAGGAATTCTGCCCGGTTTTGTTGGTAGCCACACACGTGTAGGTGCCTGCATCGCGCTGGGTGAGGGGGTCGATGAGCAGCGAGTGCACCCCTGTTTCCCTGACCAGCATCTTGTGGGAGGCGTCTGGTAGCACAGGTTGGCCATTGAGTAACCATGTCAGCTCTGGGGGTGGTAAGCCACTCACCTAATAAACAACAGGACAGCTGAGGCAAATGACAGACTGATGACAGGCAGATTTGTTTGGTGGCTGAATTCTTCACCCTTGTTTGGTCCCAAATATATAGTGAGAGAAAAATATGGAATGTTGAAAACTTCCCCCAGCAGCCTCAGGAGAAGAGGGGCCTGAACAAATGGCTGCATGAATTTAAACTATGGGTATTCTCACCGCAATTCCAGTCTTGATTAATCTATTGGATTATACTCTAGGTTAGAATAAATAAGAATTAAGAAAATAGACAAAATGGGCCTGTAGCATCAATATCAGAGATGATATACTGCTTACGTACCTAACAAGGGAGAGTTAGATAAGAGAAAGGTCAGAAATTAAACCAAGGTTCTCAAATTTTGCTGCGTATTATAGTCACATAAGGGAGTGTTTAAAAATCCTGATGCCCACTTAAAATATGAAACCAGAGTCCCTGGGGGATGGGACCCACGTGTTGCTATTTTTGAGAGTTTGGAGGGGGAATGAGCAGTCAATCTGAACATCATGTAGGCAGCCAAAGGAGAGCGAGAACCCTTACAGAAGCAGACTTTTCGTGAATGTTTAACCTCAAGTCCTCACTAATCTGCATCTAAAGTTTCTACAGCATTCTGCGTCTTTGTCTGTAGAAGAAGAGGTGATCTGCTACAGGATCTCTTCTACCCTGCTCAACAGAAGCCTGGCTTCTGGTTGAACAATTAGAATGCAGAAGTTACTAAGGGTGACAGAAGTTGATTAGTGAGGGAAACCTCTTCTGTTCTCATAGACTGCCATCTTTTCATGACAATGTTTTTTTTTCAGAGGCTTTAGCTCGTAACAGTCAGTTGAAGGATGCAAAAATCGTACTTTGGGCTTCACAGTCATAAAGGATTTGCAGGCACCAATGGATCATGTGCGAATTATATCATCTCTTTGGTTGTCATCTAAAAATATATAGTTAAGTGGATACAAAACCAATGTAATTTTTAATAAGATATGATTTTAAACTTCCTGAAATAATTTGGCCTGGTATTGAACACTACAATCTCTCTCCCTTTTCCAGGACCCCTTTGTCTGTAAACAAAAGTAAAACGCCGACAAATAAATAAAACCCCCAAAATATAAATAAAAATGAATGCAAACAAGCAAACAATCAAAAACAAAATCTGACAGATCTGGAACTAAGGATGGGTAGTCAGAGTCTACCTTGCAGTCCAGGCGACAGAGGCGCCCCTCGTGGGCTACCATGTCCCCAGGAGCCTGAAGGAAATGTGGTCGGAAAAAGCGTTCCTGAAGGGGCTCTTTGTCTCTGTCTTGCAGTCTGGATCTTCCCCTGTAGCAAGCATATTCAAGTATCAACCACAGACACAAATTTGGAAACTTACAATGATAGGCAAGTAGGCATGGCTATAGGACTACAGGGACAACAGATTTATTTTAGGGGGTAGGGCTTGCTATACCCAAAACAAACAACAACAATACATAATTAATAATGATGTGGATAGAATTAGAAAAAAAGCCTAATGTTGTAAGCATCTCATACAGTGCAGGATTGTCTTGTGAGATCTGTAATAAAATAAACAAGCTTTAGTTTCTTTCTCTCTGAAGTCATGTTGGGTTAAGTGGCTTGGCTTCTGCTGCCGTGGGCTTGACCAGTTGTTCAAAAGGCATCAGAATAAGCAAATAAATCAGTATTCAATCTGAACCTCAGATGAGTGCCAAAATAGAAGTCCAGTTTATTATTCAGAACAAGGCAGCTGCGTCTTTGAGTAATAAAATTTAACCTGGCTATAAATTATGGCAGCATGACCATGAACTTAAATTTGGCAAGACCTACCAAGAGGAACAGCTGCCCTTGAAAAAAGAAAAGAAAAAAAGAAGGTATAGTTGCAACAGTGGTGAAATACCGTATCTGAAACATGGGTCACTATTTTTGTGCCTTTGGTTAAGTCATATTTAATTCATCCATGTCAGCAACTGTGGAATGCTTTGCTAAGACTTTGTGGCACCATAAAACTCAGGGGAAAGCAAGGTTCTGTCTTCTTAGTGTTTAGGAAAATCAGAGAGGAAGAGAGCCAAGCACAACAAAATACTTGATTTGCATACATATGACAATTAAAGGTAGGTTGGCTGGTTGGTTTTTTTGATACTGCGGATTAAACATGCTGGGCAAGTGCTCTACCACTGAGCTGTATCCCCAGCCCAAGGTTTCTGTTTTATTGTAGATGAGATGGTAATTTAGTCCACAGGGCCTGATTATATGTTATGTGCACAGAGCTACTAGTTGTTACAAATTTTGATACATTAAAATTGTGCCACAGACTAGTATTTCTTAACGTTTATTGTGCTTGTGAATCACCTGGGAACTTTGTTAACATGCAGATTCTGATTTAGTAGATCTGGTGTGGGGCTTGGGATTCTTCTTCATGTCCAACAAGCTCTTATGATGTTGGTGTTGCAGGTGGGTCTCTACCTTTAAGTGACAATTTATAAACTAGGACTGGGGGCACACACCAGTAATGACAGAATTCTGGGAGACTGAGGCAGGAGGATGGCGAGCCCAGCATGGACAATTTAGCTATTTAGTGAGATACTGTATCAAAATTTTAAAAATGTAGCTCAATGCAAAGGCTCTGGGGTCAATTCCCAGTAACACACACTCACACACACACACACACACACACACACACACACACCCCACCACCACCACCACCACTACCACCACCACCACCACCACCAACAACAACAATTTGTAGGCCCAATAACTTTTGTACTCATTGTGGTGGGTAGGAATGTGGAAGGGTACCAGAAATGGGAGATTCTTTTTGTGTGGTTACTGGGAAATTGAACTCCAGGGAACTCCCTGCTCTTTAAACTTTTGAGGTAGGACTCAACCTGTACTTTCAGCACTGAGGGAGACTGAGGCAGAAGGACTGCAAGTTGGGGGATTCTTACTGTCTTTACCTGTGAGTCTGACCGGCAGAGGTTAGTCGACTATGAATGGGCAAACCCTGTACCATCAAGTGGCCAGAACAGCTGATTCTCCCCTGAGAAACAGAAAATAAGCAAAATTAGAACAAGAAGAAATTCATATTTTTCAATTTATGTAAACTTTTTTTGCACCAGAGCATTAGAAAATGTTCCTTGTGTAAATTTTTCTTTAGAGGAGAGGAATGAAAACAATATAATAATAGTATCACTTCTTAAATCACTGCAAATATTCCAGGGGGACAATTTTTTTTGAGGTACTGGAGATTGAATCCAGAGCCTTTGCACTGAGCTAAATCCCCAGCCCTTTGTATCTTTATTTTGAGATAGGGACTTGCTAGGTTGCTCAGGCTGGGCTCAAACTTGCCATCCTGCTGCCTCAGCCACCCCCCAGAGTGCTGGGATTACAGGTGTGTGACACCATGCTCCGCTCAGAGGGACAGATTTTTTTTTGGGGGGTACTGGGGTTCAAACTCAGGCCCTTGTGCTTGCGAGGCAGGCAGTGGCACCACTGAGCTAAATCCCCAGCTCTGTTCATTTTTTTGAGACATAGTTCAGGCCAGCCTTGAAGAGATATAGACTTTTAGGAATAGTGTGATGATATTCATTTTTAATTGTGAATAATGAACAGAACACACACAGACACACACACACACACGCTGGGTGTGGTGGTGCATGTGTAATCCCAGGACTTGGAAAGCTGACACAGGAGGATTATGAGCAAGTTTGAATCCATCCCAGACTACAAAGCAATTCTGTCTCAACACAACAAAACAAACTGAATTCTTGTGATGTTAATGTTATTTGTAGCCACAATGCAGAGAGCATGGCCAAATATTTTAATACTTTCCTCAAGAGACTCATCAGAACTGAAATTTCCAGAGGAAAAGTGGATGAGAGTAGAAATTATAGTTCTAAATTTTCCATTCTAATAGTAACTGAAGATACTTATTTTGCCATATGTATTAGGAGAAAGGCTTAGTCTTTTTCAGGAAAGAAAATGGGGAAAAAAAGGAAAATGGAAGATTATGAGTTTACAATTGTTATTTGAAAAAAGAAAATAAGAAAAAGATGAAAGGATATTTTAAGTTTGAGGGATATTAAAATCCTTTTTGAAATAATTTATTCTTTAAAGAGCAAAATGACAGGTCATTCTTTGGTAGAACAATTGATAGAATAACTTAGTCACTCTTCAAGAGAGTCAATGAGTTGATAAAGATGAGATTTACTGGGCTGTTAAAACTGTGTTTATGATACTTCACTTGATAAAGATTTAAAAATAACTATATCTGAAGATGGAAAAATCAAAAGATTTAGCTGGCCAGTCTGGGCACATGCGCAGTGAAGAGACTGTGCCAGTGTCCTTTGACAAAGGCTAAAGGGTTGAATGACGGACCGATCAGCTTGCTGGTCTTTTAAGTTGTGATACTGTGCTCTAGTTCTACACAATCGTAGTGCTTCCCATTAATCGTCCTCAGTCACTCGGGCTTCTCAAGGTCACGTTCTCAATGACCTCAAGCGCTCCTTCCTCAGGCCTGCGCGCACCTGGGGGTTGGCGGCCATGATGGTGTAGTTGCCGTCGTCGTCGCCGGTGGTGCAGTCAATGTGCAGAGAACAGGTCCCGTCTCCTTCTCGCCTCATTTTGCAGTGCTCATTTCTCTTAGAAATCTGCTTCCCATCTTTGAACCAGTAAACCTGAAGTGAAAGATAATTCAGGAGAATATACTCTGTTCTGTTCATTTTCAGAGGGTAAAGAACTAGACTGTGGGTGAGGAAAGGGCAGATAGCAATCTCTCCACCAGGCCACTTATCCATTCCAAATGCTTGGAGGGGCCGAAGATTTGGCTCAGTGGTCCTGCTGCCTGCCGTGAGAGCACAAGGGCCTCAGTTCGATTGCCGGCGCACACACACACACACACACACACACACACACACACACACACGTGCACATCAGAAAGGGCCGGGGATTTAGCTCATTGTTTCGGCCACCTGCCTCGCAAGCGCAAGGACCTGAGTTCGATCGCCGGTACCAAAAACAAAACAAAACAAAAAAACCCCAAAATGCTCGGAAAGCAGTTATAAAACATATCCGAATAATGGCATAATATGCCCTGCCTTTGTACCTATAACAATACTTAAGTAGAAATTCAATATTATTAGGATTAAGATAAAGCTTTCGACTATTTTTATTGTACCTTAGAATTCATTTAAAAGATACTCAAAGGACCAGCTGTGTTTACAGAGGCAAAACTATGAAAACCAAGAGCTTGGATCTTTTCCTATATTACCCTCCTAACAAGCTCAAGTCTTTTGCCGTTGCAAATCTCAGCACCTGAAATAGCTCACCTTATGTGAAATGATACTATGTTTATTATACCAAGTTGAATAAAGCTAGGATTCATTTGTTAAAAGTTTTTCTTCTAATTCAAATTTAAATGTCTATATTTTTTCATGGTAAGTTCTGCATGTAGCAAGGAGATTTCTCAAAGACAGGGAGATAATGTGCTGGGTACAGCTTATTTTTCCTGGTGTCTCACTATCCCTGACAACGCCACGCTAGTGTTTGTGAAAGTAGAGTGGAGAGATCCCTGGCTACTGCCACACTAGGTGCAAATCCTTCTCTCAGCAGACTGCCAAAAAATCTGGTGACTCATAAGATTTTTCAGCAGCCAGTGATAATGATACAACATTTTTGGCACTTACCAATGCAATGGTAATGCTACAAATATAGCTTACTTTGTACAACAACAGGCACCCTGTGGCTATCCAATCAGTTTTAAATAGAATGAAAAATATCAGTTTGATGAGTTTGAAGCTAGGAGAATTGATAGTCCAAGATGTAGTGTCATGATGAAAAAATTAATTTTAAACTTTTATGAAAACTCTAACTTAGATGTAATTTATGCTTGGCCTATTTAATGATCCTATTTCTGATCTCTCTTTTCAGTCAGATCCTCTGGATTTTGCTAATTTTGGGAATTGGTTTTCACTCATTCCCTCTATGGACATTTCACTAGAGAATGATAAGATTTTCTTAAAAGCACTCTCTAAGGTTCTGTGTGCTCCTGGTTGGTCAATTGGCTGACCACCCATCCCTACCTTTGGAACAGGTATCCCAACAATTTTGCAGGTGAATGTGACTGGTGAGCCTTCTGTAACCCGGAAGTGCTTGAGCCTTTTGTCAAAGATGGGAGCGATACACTTGCCGGTGGGAATCTCATCATGTTGGATTTCATCATCTGATTCATCAACAGGCGTGCGTTCCAAGCGGAACTCTATTTCATTCATCAGCCTCTGTTCGAAGCTTGAAATTTTGTATTCCTGTCAAAATGACAAATATATTTGAATCTCTATTTCTCTGGTGAGAAAGAGCATATCCATCAGTATTACTGAGGTTGCAACTTTTGAAGATTCAGATGTTAGATTCATACCATGAAATACCAATAAATCAAGTACAGTCCATTTCTAATTCCTTGCCACAAAATACTAAAGGAATTCCAGTGTTTCTAGTATAATCTCAGACTACCTAGTTAATCGTGATTCCTCACCTTGAGTAGGGAGTCCTGGTAGAGTTCTGTGGGGAATAGAATGAAGATGGAATCTAATTTCTATAATTACTGTTAATGGTCATTTAAAATGCAGAGCTGCTTATAAGATTTTGTTGTTTCATTTTTTTGAGACAAGTTCTCATTATGTAGTTCATGTAGATTTTGAGCTCATTATGTGCTCACTCATTATGGCCTTGAAGTTGGGTGATCCTCCTGCCTCAGCCTCCCAAGTGCTGTGGTTATAGGTGTGCACAACCACACTTGGCTACTATAGATTTATTTGACAAAGCTCTTCTGTACTTCATTCTGGTCCATGCCTGCATCCGGACTCTACAACACAGCCCTATCTGTGTGGTTGAGGAAATCCTGTCTTGAACAATTGTGAGCTCGCTCTGTCCCACCCCTGGTTTTTTGAGACAGGGTCTCACACTATACTTTGGGCTGGCCTTGAACTCACTGTGGAGCCCGGGCTGGCCTCGATCTTGCAGCTATCTTGTCTCATTCTCCCGAGTGCTGGGATTACAGTCATTCACCAACATGCCTGGTGAATAATCTCTAAACCCCAGTTCTGTCTGCATTACATTTCTTTGTGCCTTTCACAACAGAACCATTTGAAATAACTCTGTTGTTGCAGGACCATTTTCCCACCACCTATTCTCTTCCTAGCCACCCCAGTTAGGCTTGTTTCTCACTGCTCCCCTGAAATTGCTACTGGCAAGGTATCCAAATTTACAGAATTGGATCATCACGTGTGTGTTCTTACTTGACCTCTCAGAAGCACTTGTCAGAGACGAATGCTTTTCCTTCCTGAAACACTTTCTTCTGTTTGTCCCCATGACATACTGTATTGGTTTCCTGCTCTTTCACAAGCAGCATCTTATCAGTCTCCTCTGCTGACTCCTATACCTCTGCCCTCGGGGGTCTCATTCAGTTTTACAGCTTCAGACACCTCCCATATGCTGAGAACTCCCATCCTCGGCTCTCCAAACCTGGTCTCCCCAGCTGCAGAGATGCACACCCAACCATCTGCTCCACACCACGGAGCCCAGTAGGACCTCAGACTCAGAAAGGTCCAAACAGGGCAATCCTCACCTGACCTGCCTCATCTCAGAAAATGGTACCACTATTCATTTGCTTGGTTAAGTGGTTAAAACAGCGTTTCCTGTACTATGGTAAAAACCAGGCCTCAAACCATTTCTAATTAGTGCTTTTGTGAAATAAAATAAAACGAATTACTACAAAATGAAATTTAAAAGCCATGCAAAATTATATTTATAAACATACTATTATTTCCCTATCAAAATGCTATAAAATTCCTTAATGGTTACTGCCCTGTTCTATAATTGTCTCAAGGTGACAGCTTGCACTTTGGTATTGGTTCTTGGGACGTACTTTGAGTGCACTAAGTTAAGCCCTAAATCTAAAACTTACCCTGGATTCCTCTCATGCCACCTCCCTGCCATATCCTAACTGTCCAACTTGAACATCAACTCCCAGGGCAGCCTCCTCAGCCCCTTTATCAGCAGCCCCTCATTCTAATTCTCCACACCACTGGCCACTAGCTAGCGTTTTTCTTATGTGTTGATTGGTTGACAGGCTCTGTCAGAGTGTGAGCTTCCCAGGGGCACAGGTCTTGGCTGTCTCACCTCCCTGGAACGGCTCTGGCCCACGGCAGGTGCTCAGGAAGCATCTGAGGAACGAGTGAATGAACACATGGGCGCTCACGGAGGTCTTCACTCATTCCTACTCTACCACGTCTTTGAGGAGTACGGAGCAATGTGTTTGAGGGGAGGGCGAGACCTGTGGTGAAACGTGTGACTCTAGATGTCTGTAATGTGGTCGTTTAGGTGGGCTTCAGGGACAGGCCCTCCCAGAAGCTTCTGATATGGAATTTGAAAGCTCATGGCTGACATGTGCCTACCTTCAGTGTTGGCAGAGTTTAGGGATCTGTGTTTGGAAACTGTGAAATCGTATTTCTCCTGTCCTCTAGTTGTGTGAAATCCGTAATCACCTAGATTTGAGCAGAATTGGGGTTTAGACAAGTGTTTCTTGGTTTTAGTTGCTTGGAATTAATTTCAAATCTGCCTCCGCTTGGACACATCTCAGACTGGGTAGACAAAGTAAGACCTTAGCTCTAACAGGGTGGAAAAAAATTCATCAGTAAAACGTATCAACTCTTTTTTTTTTTTTTTGAAGTGACCTGGAACTCACCATGTAGCCCAGGCTGGTCTCGAACTCAACAGCGATCCTCCTGCTTCAGCCTCCGGAGTGCTGGGATTACAGGCGTGTGCCACCATGCCCGGCCGTATCAACTTTTAATCAGATCATTCAAACCAGTTAAAGTAAGAGACTGTTCACCTCTACTAATGCCACTGCATTCTGAAGCTTCACTTAGTTTAAATATATAAGTCAGGTGTGGTGGCGCACGCCTGTAATCCCAGCACTCGGGAAGCTGAGGCAGGAGGATTGCTGTGAGTTTGAGACCAGCCTGGGCTACATAGTGAGTTCCAGGTCAGTCTCAACTACATAGTGAGATCGTGTCTCAAAAAAACCAAAACAAATATATAAATTACCTTCTCGTTATAGGATTGTTTTGGGAAAAGTTAACAATTATAGCTTCCAAGTAGTCACTCATTAGATGAAACTATATGATATTGCTGTTTTTGTAGGTCAATAGTGATGGAAAATCAGCCATTTCATATAATTCAATTTGATACCTTAGAATGATGATACTTTCCTTGAATTAATTAAATGGTCTCACAAATTTGAAATATTTCTTGGTTTGATTGTTTAAAAATACCTGGAATATATTGCACCCATGCATCTAAATTGGTATTTATTTCTTTTAACAAATTGAGGTTTTTGAAGTGAAACCAATAAGTCATTTTATTCCTTTATCACATGAAGTAGGCACTAAACTATAGCTTTATTATTTTCAAATTATATTAAAAAAGAATAATTCTATATTTCTTGCTACACACATATACCAGAGTTCAGGAACCTCCAAACTTTTTGTGAGGATAATCACTCTCCGTTTCTCTGAAGCTTTATGATTACTGCTGGAGAAGAGGTCAGGGCAGGGTGCCTGTGCTTTTGGAGAAGAGTGCCTAGAGGTGTTGACTGAGCCTAGATCTTGGAGAAAAGATGCTAGAGATGTTGACTGAGCCTAGATCTTGGAGAAAAGATGCTAGAGGGGTTGGCTGAGCCTAGATCTTGGAGGGTATAGAGATGGAAGAGTGTGTAGGTGGTGGTCACCTTGTTGGTTCAGCAGGAATATTTGCTACAGATAAATTAGAAAGAACTCATTTTCTTCAGTGCTTAACTAAAGAGTTCATGCATTTAATATTTTAGAAACAAGATTAAAGTGAATAGAAATCATGTCAACTTACATCTGTCTACCACTTGTAAATGGTTAGCAGAAATAGGGAAGCTGGGTGATTTCAGGAGTTTATTTTCCCTTCACCAAAGCCTTCCCTCTCTCCTGCCTTTACATTAACCATCTTCCACCTCCCACACCCAGTCACCACTTCTCAGGACATTCCCAGGACGTGAGCGAAGCTGGCCAGGGCTCGAGGGGAACCTCCAAGGCTCTGTCTCCCAGCCTGTCTCCTCTCTGGCACTATGGCTACAGATGTCTCCCCCAGATGAGCCCTGTTCTTTCTACAGCCTGTCCCTATCTGGTTTCTCTGTCCTCTGTTTCCTCCTCTCTCTAGGCTCCTGTGCCCACTCCCTGAAGAAATGCCCCGAGCCTCCAGTGTTGAATCTAGTTTCCTTATTCTGGACTATAGCTAAATCGTATCTGAGTCCTTCATGTATCCAATCCTGTTCTCTATGAACAACCCTTGTTTTTCAGGGACTGGGAAGAAAAACAGATACAGGAGTGGGACATAAGTCTCTTTTATCCTCAGATTGCCTCTTTGCAGTAATTCCTGAAAAATGTTACAAAGGCTTTGCTAGCTGCTGATCGGAATATTGCATGTGTGGATCCAAATTATGAGGAAGAAAAGAAGAAATCAGGGGACAAAAGAAGCAGGAAGATGATGACCTGAGGCTTCGAAGATAAAATATGGGGGCAACCAAGGAACGAGCCTCAAATAGAGAAATAGTGAAATAAAAGCCCCAAATAGAGAAGTATTTCTTGGGTTTTTGAAAGAGAAGAAGTCTTAGCCTTCACAGGCTCCTTGTTTCATGGACGTCCTCGAATTCCCAATCCTTTCTGTACCACCTTGCATCCCTGTACCAATGGAGTCCTTACTCCAAGATAAAGAACCTATTCTATAGCTTCTACACTCCCTGGTGAGGGCTGGTGAGTTCCTGGCTAGTTACCCTGACAGAGTTATTACAGGGGGAGATGGATTCCTGAGCTTCTACATGGAAATTGTGAACTATTTTTTCGAAGAAAATTATTGTACGTGATGGTACGTTCTGATTGTACCTATACCTCAGGAATACAATGGGTGACACTCATATAGTGTCTGCCTGGAAATGCAAATACCACGTTTTCTCTGTATGCCAAACAACTAACTTTAAGAACTTGATTTTGAGTGTGTGTGGGGGGTCTGATTTTTTTAAAGAGTAGGGTGTTGGGTCTGATTTTATAGAATTTACAAGTGCTTCAATTGATTTAGCCAATGGAAGGACAGAAGCAATACAACAAAAATATATACATTTTGCTTTAGCATAAACTTATTTATAACTTGGTCATATATTTATTATCTTAACAAATACTTCAAATTGGAAGGGGATGAAAACCAGGTACTCAGTGAACTAGCT